AGTACAGTGATTGTACTATTTACACTGATTCTCTTAGCTCTCTACTGGCCTTGGAATCTTTTAACGTTAGTTCTCACCTGTTCTTGTCGAAATTCAACAACGACTGGCCCATTTTTCTCTATCTTCTGTTTCCATCTAGTTTTTCTGGATCCCTGGCCACGTCGGTATTAACGGAAACGAGCTCAATGACACCGCAGCTAAGTCCGTCTACTCCGGTGCCGTCACAGCCGTGCCTGTCCCGTACATGGACTACGGTCCTGTCTTCAAGGCGCGGCTTCATGCCATTTGGCAGTCGACTTTGGGTGAGCAACGTCATAACAAGCTTTTTCAGATCAAATCTTCTGTTGCTTTTAAACACCGACTATTAGGTACTGGTGAAAATAGGTCAGAATCTAAAGTTCTTGCACAAACTATTGACTGTTTTGTAATGCTCATTAATAAGGATTTTGTGAATGGCCTCTAATTCAGTTTTTTTGATAGTCCGACAAATATATATTTTTTTTGACACGCAAATTAAACTGAATGTTCCATATTTTTTATGTGAGAAGTGTTCTAAACACGTGTAGCACCCTGTCAGGGGGATGTTTGGTGTACCAGGGGAAAGTGTTGTGTGTCTTACAAATAATATGGGCAGTATAGTTTTTGTAATGCTTCCTTTGAATATTTGTTACTGAAAAATATTATTCTTCATAAATATTACCTGATTGTTAAGTATTGCCACGGTTAAGTTAATTTTAAGCCGAACGATGGCGCTGCTAGTGGCCCTTGCTAATTTGTGTATTGTGTGTGCTCAATTTTACATCATGTCATATTTTTTTCAGTTTGTCTATCGCTTTTTCTTTCCAACGGTAGCAATATGTACTAAAAATATTGAATGGTCATTCATGCGAGGTTCGTGGACAATACGACTTCTCATTTCGACATAGTTTTTTTTAGTTATACTTTTCACAGACTCTGTTTTCTTGGCATTTTCAACCCTTACGAGCCTTCCAGTGGTATAGCGGTAAGTCTACGGTCTTATAATGCTAAAAACCAGGTTTCAGTACTCGTGATGGGCACAACACAGGTAGCCCAATGTGCAGCTGTGTGCTTAACTACAGAGAAACATTATCAGCCGGGCCCAAGATCCCATTGTTCAAGTCGTCCCTAATTTAGAGCAGCTGACCACGAGGAGGACAGTCAGTTAGCACCTACTACCTGCCTGATTTTTCTTCTTTGAATAGCGGGATTGACTGTATCTTTATAATGTGTCCCAGTGTGCTGAGCGTTTTTATCTTGACTTTTCTTCTTTGAATAGCGGGATTTATTGTGTCTTTATAATGTGTAGCACAACCCGACCTACTGGCCAATAAGCCACCCCTGGTCTTTCAGACTTTGGACATGACCATAGATAACCATTTATTCCTTGAATTTATCGTTAAAAATTACATATTTCATTGATAATTTATTTAACTAGTAGAGGTCTGAATTTATGATTACACTGTATATGTAAAGTTAAGAGTTATTTTTCAGTTTTTCCTACTGACAAGGCCCGGCATGGCCAGGTGGTTAGGGCGCTCGACTCGCAATCTGCGGGTTCGAATCCCCGTCCCACCAAACATGCTCGCCCTTTCAGCCGTGAGGGCGTTATAAAGTGACGGTCAATCCCACTATTCGTTGGTAAAAGAGTAGCCCAAGAGTTGGCGGTTGGTGGTGATGACTAGCTGCCTTCCCTCTAGTCTTACACTGCTAAATTAGGGACGGCTAGCGCAGATAGCCCTCGTGTAGCTCTGCGCGAAATTCATAACAAACAAACCTATTGACAAATAGGCTATTAAAGCCACCTAGTCCCGCCCCCTTCCTCCCTAGTGGCACAACGGCAAATCTGAAGGCTTTTAAGACTAAAAACCGGTTCTCGATACCCGTATGTTGGGAACAGTACAGATAAACACATTATGGAGATTTGTGCTTAACTAAAGAAAAAAAAATCATTCGGCACTCATTCATAGTAATTGCTTTTTATTTATGTGTTCAATAACTGCACGACATTATATTTCTGTATTATGATATATAAGCGACAACATATTTTCCAACCTACAACGTCGAACGAAATTAACCAGAAATCTAATAAGCTCCGCGCTTTTTGATTCCATCAAACGCAGCCGTGTCGATTTCGTCAAAGTTTCGTTTCTTCAGTCCTCCAAAAGCAGCCGTGTCAATTTCGTCGAATGTTCTTTTTTTGAACGCTCCTCCCATCGCGGCTCTGTCGATCTCGTCGAAGTAGCGTTTCGGCCACGAGTAGTGTGGAAACGGTCGTAATATACCATTACGGCCTGAATCCATGGCAGCTGTTTCTGGATGAGCACTCTCAAGGTGACCCGCTCTTCTCACATATTCCAAGTTTGGATTGTTGTTCTATATACCACAAAATAAAAATATGTTTTAATAAGACAGATTTTATTGTCATAAAAAGTAACGAAATTTTTTTTTCATTTAATTTTATGATTCGGACGGTTAGTTGATATATATAGTGTGATAACTAGGCGTTTAGCTTTTGAAACTGAGTGATAGTGATTTCTTCTATGATGCGCACCAATGACTTATTCCATATTGTTTTCTAGTGATTTATACATTATGCGCTAATGACTCATTCTACACTGTTTTCTAGTGATTTATACATTAAACGCTAACAACTTATTCATATTGTTTTCTAGTGATTTATACATTAAACGCTAACAACTTATTCCATATTGTTTTCTAGTGATTTATACATTATACGCTAATGACTCATTCCACACTGTTTTCTAGTGATTTATACATTAAACGCTAACAACTTATTCCATATTGTTTTCTAGTGATTTATACATTAAACGCTAACAACTTATTCTACACTGTTTTCTAGTGATTTATACATTATACGCTAATGAACTTATTCCATATTGTTTTCTAGTGATTTATACATTATACGCTAATGACTCATTCTACACTGTTTTCTAGTGATTTATACATTAAACGCTAACAACTTATTCCATATTGTTTTCTAGTGATTTATACATTAACGCTAATGACTCATTCCACACTGTTTTCTAGTGATTTATACATTAAACGCTAACAACTTATTCCACACTGTTTTCTAGTGATTTATACATTATACGCTAACAACTTATTCCATATTGTTTTCTAGTGATTTATACATTATACGCTAACAACTTATTCCATATTGTTTTCTAGTGATTTATACATTATACGCTAGTGACTTATTCTACATCGTGTGCTAGTGAAGTATCATCAACCACATTATACGCTAGTGACTTATTCCATATTGTTTTCTAGTGATTTATACATTATACGCTAGTGACTTATTCTACATCGTGTGCTAGTGAAGTATCATGAACTACGATAGTGTTCATTTTCATAAAAGGGATCGCAAGGAATTATACAAAACCCTGATAGAACGTTCGGGCAAAAAGCACCTTAAACAGTAAAGATTCAGTTCAAACCAAACTTTAAAACCTTTACTATTGACTCCTAAGGCTGTACACATATAAAAATGCACAAAAAAGAACGCATGTTAGATTTATAAGGAAAAGAAAATCCGCTCAAAACGGCCTATTTGTAATTCCTCTTTTTTCTTCTTCTTCTCTTGCCAGCCTAGAATAAAAATGCTTGATATATTGTACCCAAACCTTTTGTAGAATACTAAATAAGGTACTGCAAAAGTCGTAGGGGTATTGAAAAGTCGATTTGTTTCTTCTATGTGTTAAATAAGCTAAAAAACATAATAATTCTAGTGTAAACGATGTCATCATTACCCATTGAAGTTAACTTTCTTACAAATATTTGGTGTTCCTTTAAAAAGTTTAAGCACAGGGTGAAACAGGCATTACCAGCCAATAATAGATGGACATTAGATGACTGTAACATGCAGATACTCAATGCTTTGTACACTATACAATCGGTGTTTTTAAGGAGCCAACCTCTATATTATGTATGAAATGTAAGAGTAAAAAAATATCAATGTATATAATAATAAATTTTATTACACACATTCGTAGGATAATTACTTTAAAGGACATAAAGGTTTAATTTAAGTTATGTTTTAGACGTATGTTTTATTTGAAAAAGCTGCTTTTCTATTGGTAAAATTTTATACGCGCTTAATAGGGGTTGTGTATTAGTCTAGGCATATATTTACCCATTGCTATGTATTATATATATAGAATTTAGTTACACATAAACTATAAATGCTCACTATATTCTCAAACAAATCGCCAGCTGCATTTTACATCTCGAAGTAAAGCGATCAAACAGTCAATAGCTACAGTAAATCATCATGAACCATATCGACTGGCTACTAGCTATGTTTATTATCAATACAATGTATAAAGTTAGCTACTATATCAAGTAATCCTTTGCCTATATATTTGAGCATAAAAAATCCAGCAAACAAAATAAATAAAAAATTGGGAACTTAAAAACCTGCAAATGGGGATCGTAAAAAAAGTAAGAAAACAAGGCTGGAGATACTGTAGACATTATTTACTGAAACTACAAATCCCTATTTTGACTCCACTAAATGTAATTCTAGGTACCAGCATGGAGCCAAAATAGGGATTTGTAGTTGTTTTTATTTTTGGTTTATTTCTTTTCAAGCGCAAGAGTACACAATGAGCTACTTGCGTTGTGCTCACCGTGGGTATCGAGCCACGATATTTAGCGTTATAAGCCCGGATCTTACCGCTGAGCAAACGGAAGGGTGGGCTTATTTTTAGTCGATTGGGTTTATATTTTACTGTTTCAACCATACTTGGTACTATGTGCTCCGAAGCGATTGGTCAAAGTACAAAATAGCGTTTCAGTTCAAACCATCCGGTGATTCAGCGGAAAGTCTGAGGGCTTAAATAGCCAAGAACCGGGTTTCGATACTCTCTCTCTCTCTCCACACACACACACACACACACACACACACACACACACACACACACACACACACACACACACACACACACACACACAC